CTATTCACTATTAATATACTCATCAAATCCTATTTTTATCCATCACATCCAAGATTTTTTAAAAAAATTTAACACCAAAAAACTACTCTCCTTGAATCCTTTAAAAAACAAAATCTCCAATATTTTTAGGGACGGAGGGAGTATAACCCAATATAATCAACTTTTATATTTACTATTACATCATCCAATATTTAAATAAAATGCTGTAAGTTTTCAACAATACAGAGTATTAGTTAAATACTGTAAATGGTACTATAATAAAGAAATCAATTCGAGAGGAATATTCTCTCAGTCCCATTAAACTTCTTTTTTACAAAATGAGATTTACGAAATGTGTAGTTTTGATATTATTCTCCAAACTTGGCCTTACTTTAGCTCTGCTCGACCAACACTTATTCCAAAACAATAGTCACTTAAATCCACATCAACTTTGATTGCACTCACCATCTCACTCACTTCATATTCATAGTGTTTCACTTCTACTGCAATCATTACAATTTTATTTTTATTTAATATTAATGTATTTCTACTCAGATTATAAATTCTATCTTATAAAAAATAAAAATATTTTTTTAATTTTTTCGTTCATCTTTTTCTCTTTCTGGTTTATTATTTTTTTGTCATGTTTTTTCCTTCTTTTTATACTTTTTTGAATGATATTGACTTTATGACACACAATGTAATGACACACAAAAAATTAATGGATTCGTCTCTGTTGGGGCTTGAACTCAATCTGTCATAAAACGAACTTCACGGGGCGCTTTATAATATTTGAATGAAGTTATAGTATTAAATTAAATCTATTAGAAACTTGGTATGGAACTTAAAAATAAAAATTATACACTTAAAACATATATGAAAAATCTACAAAATTATATGTGACATTACTCTATATATATATATATATATATATATATATATATAGATTTTGGTTCTGGTGAGAATGCAATCTTAGGAGAGAAATGAGAATGAATATGGTGCTTTAGATTGTGAGATCTAAGGGTCAAGATTTCATCAAAATTAGATGCACCAAAATGGTGCGAAAATGCATCACGTCGAAATGCACCATAAACCTTCGAAAATGCACTATCTCAAAATCTGAGCGCAGAATGCAATCTGAGCCGCACGATGCATCAGATCCGACGGCTAGATTTTATTTTCATTTCTCTCCACAAGGTGCATTCTCACGGGAACTAACCCCTATATAGATTTTGGTTCTGGTGAGAATGCAATCTTAGGAGAAAAATGAGAATGAACTACAACAACATATATATAATACATACATACATACATATATACATACATATATATAAACTATCAACAAACTTTACCTATAAAGAATCTATATTAATCTAGTCAAAATGATAAATGGGAAATGACGACCATTGTGCTATTATAGAAGAAATTCTACCAATTCTATACAAAACAATGTGAAATTCGACAAGCTTTTCAAAACTAAGTCTCACTTCACATTAAAATTTTAGCATTCCACTCATTTTAATTATAAAACCCTTTAAAATTTACAACAAAAGATGAGCCTAATTAAGGTAGACCTCAGATGCAGACACATTCAAACACATTCAAACACTGATCACCATGTTGACTTATACTCAAGGACTTAATACATCTACTTTGCAATTACTCTGTATATATTCTTTTTGTTCCTATTAAATTTTAAATTATATTGTATTTATTCACTATTAATTTACTCATTTATTCTATAAAGTAAGGATAAGATACATGTAATTTCCAGTAGTGTTCTACCCCGTATTTGGAAGTATAATTTCGTAGAGCTTTGAATATATTTAATTTCAACAACCATGCTACTATATACTTACATAAAAAAATATACCCCAAAGTTACACCAAAGATATATTCTAACACTTTGTTGGTTCACACTGACACAAAATGTTAGTGCGATAATAAAAATTTGCACTAACTGTTAGGATCTGTGTGAACCATCAGTGTAGCATCATACTAGCACAAAAATGAAGATGTACGCATGCGGTGTACAAACTGAAGTACAAATCTTGAGGTACAAATAGCTTAATCTTATTTTCAAACATACATCCTGACATAATTGATTTGATGGCACGATAACAAGAACTAAAAGGAAATAAAATAATATTTCCTACGTCTGAAAAAAGATTGTCACACTTTGATTTTATTGGTCCAACTATGACACCCTTTGACCACGAATTAAATATAGTTTAAAATAAATAAATATTATAAAAATTGAGTATTTTAAAACTACTCCCTCCGTCCCAAAAAGATTGGTGCATATTGATTTTTGGGAAATTAAGGGAGGGATATTTTGGTGTTGACTTTCCAAAAATACTCTTGATGTGATGGGTAAAAGTAGGATGTGATGAGTAGATTTTTAGAAAAAAGGTATGATGTGATAGGTAGGGTACGAAAAAGTAAGGGGTAAAAGTGGTTTTTTAATAGAAATGTAACGGACTTTACGGGACACAGTTTTTTCGAAACGTGTCGGACTTTTTGGTACGGATGGAGTATAATTTAAAATAAACTCAATTTTCCTAAATTTACATGATAATAAATATCCTTTTTTCATAATTTACGGTGAAAGGTGCCAAAATTTGACCAAAAAAGTCAAACTATTGTAAAATTTTAGGAACGAAGGGAGTATTTCGTATGTAGGGACTATTTTTTGGGTAAAAACTACCCCTTCTATTCCTAAAAAACTTTTTCCTTTCTTTTTTTCATTTTTATTAAAATATCACTTTTACCTGTACTGATTTTTAACCTAGTTATGACATCACATTTATCCACTATTAATCTCTCCATCAAATCATACTTTTGCTCATCACATATAAGAATATTTTTTGAAACCAACAGAAAAATATGCTCCCCTTAAAATTCAAAATATCCCATGTTTTCTGGGACGGAAGGAGTAGATAATGGTTAATTTAGAAAAAGTTTGAAGAATCTAAAGAAGTTGCACAAATTTAGGAGTATGAAGAATATGTAAGGAGTTGAAATAAGTTAGAAATAGATGAAAAAAATTAGAAGATGTTTGAATATACTGGAATGAATTGAAAATACTGAAGATTTTGAAAAATTAAAAAGAGTTCGAAAATATTAGAAAAAATAAAAAATTATTGAAATGAATATTACGGAGTATATTTTTGAAATTTCATTTTTATCAAAATAATTAATAGTTCATTTACTTCAAATATTTGTTTCTTTTTATTTTATGCATGCTATTTCACACTACTATTTTTGTTTTACAACATACTTCATATATATATGTTATACGTATAGTACGAGTAATATTTTTATGACTCTTACTCTTTATTTTTATTGTTTTTCTTACACAATTAACATCAATATAATTATACAATACTCCGTATAAGTTTTTGTTTCTTAATTAGCATAATACTAACTCACTAGTTTTTACCTCGTGCTTCACACGGGCTCGCATATTTCTCTATAAAATATATTTATATGTTAACATAGATATTTTAAGTTAACATTTTGGATGTTTGTTAAAAGTTCAATTCATATATGAACGTAATATGAATTAAAATTTAATTTTATTTATTTTAATGTTTTAATAATAATATGATATGCATTAATAAAATAAATAATGTAATAAGATAATTTTTTTGAAACAAATCGTTTAATTAATAAATATGCATAAGTGATTAAATTTATATAATCATTTTTTAAAAAGTAATAAACTAAAATAAGTTGTGGATAGTTTAAAAATTATATATATATATATATATATATATATATATATATATATATATATATATATATATATATATATATATAATATCGAGTATATTTTATGATGATGAAATATATATTTATAGAATTATTAAAAAATGAAAATTTTTTATGCAAATGTATTCAAAGATCTTTTTAAAAAATCAAAATGGATCAATGAATTAAAATGCATAAATCCACATCATTAGTGAGTGCACATGTGGATACACATGTGGCATGCCACATGTCAACACTACAACAATTGAACTCTCTTTTACATATATATATAGGATATAGGATATTTAAAAAAGAGCAAATTCCATAATTGGTCCTTTATAATAGGGGGATTTCCCTATTTAGTCCTCTATTATCAAATATTACTCCAGTGGTTCTTCTTTTATGGGTATCTTTCCACAAATATTCCTTTTTTTGATCTTCTATCACGTTGGTGTTAATGTGAGGGCTAAAAGTGTAATTTCACAATGATAATATATCTTTTTTGTCAAACACAATTCCAAAAGTTGTTCTGTTTGCGTCATTTGTGAATTACATTCGCTTTCTACTACAACCATAGTCTACAAATGTTGTCTTCCGTCGGAATCCTAGTCCACAATCATAGTACATGTTAGATTTTCTTTATTGAGATAAAATTATATTATTTACGTTAATTCTTTTCTTTCAATTAAGGATATAAAAAACCTTTTCTCCCTTTATCCACTATTTTTTTAAAGAGTAAATTCCATAATTGGTCCTTTATAACAGGGGAGTTTCCATATACGACGAAGGTAGTTGAAATTTAACCAAATATGTACTCCCTTATTCCTTAAAACCATTCCTATTTTGACTTTGAGCCAAAATAAGGAAAGTGTAATTTTGGATGACTTTCCAATTTTGCCCCTGATGTGATGGGTAAAAGTAAGATGTGATAGTTTGATTATTAGTGAAAAAGTATTATGTGATAGTTAGGGTTTGAAAAAGTAAGCGTAAAAGTGGAAGTGTTTTAAGGAATTGGAAAAAAACGAAAGAGGAATGATTTTATGGAACAGAGGGAGTAATAAACAGAGAACTGATTCAATTCAAAGAAAATAATAAATGAACAAACTTAAACTAAAATGGAGAGAAAACCTTTTTTTATGTTAAAAATATTTTTTTTATTATTCACAAGAAACTATTAAAACAATTAATTTTAAAAATAAATTTGTTCCATCTTCAAAGAGATCTCACCAAAATGACACCTAGCCAGACCATGACATGTGAATTGTGATGGAGAGGAGATCTAGGTGAGGGTATAAGAGTAATTTCAAATCAAGAATGTTTTTACCCACCACCCACACCTATTTAACCGCCCGCCGGCGCCACTCATTTGCCACCCCAATTCAATCATTTCATAATTCTCCGTCCAAAAATTCTTCAAACGACAAAATATAGAAATAAAAAACCATGAAAACTACACTTTCCATTAATTCCCTATTCATCTTCCTCGCACTCTCCTCCGTTCACTCACGGCCGTCACGCGCCGCCGCCGGCGCCGCCACTAAAGAAGATACCCAGTTCATTGAAGCAACCTGCAATAACAAAGATGTAGTACTACCAAACCCGTCCTTATGTGTCCGCTACCTCTCCCCCTTCGCCGGCGCCGTGAAGCGAGATCTCGCCGTCCTGGCTCGGGTCGCCATCGACGTCACCCACGATAAAACCAACTCCGTGGTCACTTATATGAGGAAAAACGTCTCCGCCGGCGCCGACGTAAAGGCCGAGATTGCCCTCAAGGTAATATATACTTGTCGTCTTAAAAAAAACTTTACACTTGTAGTTTTTAAATATATATTCCCTCTTCCATTTTTAAAAGAGTGTTACTCCGTATAATTTAACTTTTCGGTCAAGCTGTGATATTCTTTGACTACGAATTAAATATAGTTTAAAATAATTAAAAATTTTAAATTTGATATTTCAAAACTAAATTTTAAAATAAACATAATTTTACAAAATTTACATTATAAGTAAATATAATTTTTCTATATTTTGCGGTAAAATAATGTCATAGTTTGACTTAGAAGCTTGTTCATCTAGAAGTCACGAGTTCGAATCTCATGGGAGAAAATCACCATGATGGAATATCTCATTTGAGAAAGTCTCCACTTGGTTTTTAGGGGGTGCCTTGGAGCATAAAAACAATATCTATTCATTCTTCTTCAATTATTATAAGAGGAATTTACTTAAATAGCACCAAAACATAATGTCTTTTTCTAAATAACATCATATACTTTTATTTGAGGAATTTACTTAAATAGCACTAAAACATAATGACTCTCTTTAAATAGCACCACATGTGTTTTTCTTCCCAATGTAGCACTTTTAGTCATTATGCATTAGTCATTATTCAAGTAAATATTCGCCATCACTGGATATTATGGATATTATTAAGTGTTATTTAGGGAATAAAACAGTTTAAGTGTTATTTAGGGAAATGACTTAAGTTTTAGTGCTATTTATTAGTGCAAATATTTCTTTTTATTTTCCAATATAAGACTTTTAGTCATTATCCATTAGTAATTATTTAAGTAAATGTTCACCATCTTCTAGACATTATTAAGTACTATTTAGGAAATAAAGAAATTTAAGTCCTGCATTGGAAAATGACTTAGGTTTTACTGCTATTTAATGCAAATATTTTTTATTATAAACCTAATTTTTTTTTGGAAAAATTGATCATGACACAGGACTGTTGGAACACCTACTTGGTAAGCTCCATAGGTGAGATGGAGAATTCTACCAATGCATTGAAGGCGATCAGCGCCGCCGATAAGGCGGCGGCGTTGGGCGACGTCCAGGCGTGGATGGACGCCGCCCTGACGGACCAGGACATGTGCACGGCGGGGCTGGAGAAGAAGGTGGCGGATATGAACCTCAAAGCCGCCGTGCTGGGTCAGATGGCCCTGGTTAAGCAGCTCACCGGCAATGCCTTGGCTCTCTTCCACAAATTTTCGTGCTCAAACGGAGGTCCTTGTAATGCCAGGATCAATACAATCATAATCCATTAAATTAAATTTCCCATCTTATTAATTACATTAAATAAACATGTTTACTACTGAATTACCTTAAATAAAATGTGCTACCTAATTATTACGTTTGATTTGTAATGAAGATGATATGGTAGGAGTTGTAAATTTGTATTATAACAACGTCCTCCTCAGTATATTTGTCTAGTTTGACTAATTCGAGTCAAACTAGACAAAATTTGAGCTTCAATCACTCTCTATTTATATTACATATTAGTATAATGTAATATAATTTTAAAAGTTCTCAATATGATAAATCTAATAAAGTTATTTTTATGTTAAAATAAATTATAGTTTTTCTTTAATTAAAACTCAAAATTTATCTCATGAAAATACACTGACAGAATATTATATTATGCTCATGGAAATCTTGAATTGTCATTCAACCATTAGTACTTCGTATTATGCTCGGTAAGTCTTTTTCAGTAAATAAATAAACTCGAACTTGGGCTCGGACTTCATGTCACTTGGCCCAAAGCCCATCCCATTTAGTAATTGAGTGTGTGTTATTGTTAAAAGCCCAAACTTTGAGGCTTAATTCGTTGTCCAATCTTGCTTACTGCCTCCGTCCACTTCCTAACTTCCCATTTCAAACAACATGCAAAATTATATCTTTTTGAAATTAATTTATTTATAAATTAGAATATAAAAAAGTAAAAATTACATTATTTAAAATTACATAAAAAATTATACAAAATAATCATGACAAGAATTTTTTATATTATCAAAAGGTTGATAAAAATATGCAAGCAAGCTTAAGTTAACGAAAGAACTATAATAGTAACTGGGAAAATAAAAAATGAACGAAGGGAATATATGATTGTCATTATTGTACTTTTGTTACAACAACAATGACAACCCAATTGGATGTCACAATTGTAGGGTCAAAGGAGGATGTGTGTATGCAGATCTTGCATATATTCGAAAGTGGAAATGTTGTTTCCAAGAGACCCCTGGCTCATGCAGCACCAATAATAAAAGATTACAAAGGCACATAGTGTAGAGTAGAGCGAGATAATGCATGGGAAAATTACACTTAACGAAGGGAAGTACTATAAGCAGAAACACCTAACAGACACAGCATACAACAAAGAATGCATCAACTATCACCTATCCAACTACTCTAGTCCTAACTTTTCAAACACTTCTATCGATCTAAGGTTTCATCGATAGTAAGGACACAATAAATCATGGGTCCTATCTGATCACCTTCTAATAATTCTGTTTAGCACTTTATCGTCTCACGTGTCCAAACCAACTCAACTGAACTTCTAGAAGCTTATCTTCCACTGGTGCCACGCCCATGCGTCGTCGTATAACCTCGTCTCACGAGGTGTTACCACGTTATTCACGCGTTTTCTTCTTCTCTCTAGCTTTAATTTTCTCTCATTTTTCATCTTCTTCTTCACCAGATTTCTGTGAGTGTTAGATTTGATCCTAGCACCGCCATCATTTCGAACCATATAGCCAAACTGATAGAACTTACCTTTCATCCTTGCTGAAATCTTCTTATCGCACAACACCTATGTAGGCAACCTCCATTTCGCCCAAGCTGCTCCGCCGCTCCAACACATGCACAAGATCCATGTCTAACACCCCATCCGCCCGAATGACCGAGCTAAGATACCAAAACTTGTCTACATAGAGAATCGGGTGAGACTCAATCCTTCCACTCCTGATTTTTTCTTCCGGACACTACAAGACATTCTAAATATTCAGTGTTAGTCCTCCTCAGTTTAAATCCTTTGGATTTTAGTGAAAGGTGCAAAATATTTTTTCTACACTAGCTAGAATTTAAAGAAATTAACTTAAAATTAACTGAAGTTAAACTTTGTTAACCACAACTAAAATTTATCACTTTCATTAGATTAATGACGTAGATTTATCTTAATAAAAATGTTACTATTAAACTTTATCGTAAGATAACATATTTTTAAGGATCATCTAAAGTGTTACATCTAAAAATAAGGAGTACTTTTCTATTTCTTTTTTGTTTTTTAATAGGGAACACTATATTTTTATTTTGATACCATGTATTCATAAGTACACATATATACCGAAAACTTGGTGCCCACCACACCAAGTTATTAAAAAATGTTATTAAAAATTTTTGCGATCTCATTAATAATTATACAAGTGTAGGCTATCAAAATATTAGAGCAAAGTTGTAGTGCACAAAAATACTGTAGAAGTACCATTATTATCATTATTTGTATCTATAGGTAGCTAGCATTATTGATATTTGGTACCGCCAAAAAAAAGAAAATTATTGATACTTCGTATTTGGAAAGAGCATTCTAACGGATCAGCTGAGACGCGGACCAGTCAGTGACTCAGTGATCATGGGCCGGCGACCTTGCCCGCAAATGCGTTGACCATTGCAAGCGCATTACTGGTCAACATCTTGAGAGCCACAACTTGACCTTGCACGTCAGCGTTGACGCGGGCCCCATCGAGACAGTTGTCCTGATCCGTCTCGGCGGCGCTCATCCACGTCTGCACGTCGCTCACCAGCTCCCGCGTCGCCATCTTCTTCTTCCTCTCCGCCGCTCCGCCGCCGCCGGCCAGCCGCTTCATCTGCCGGAGCGACCTCCGCATCTCGTGCAGGGCGTCCCGCAGGTGGCCGGAGCACTCCTTCAACGCCGTGGACGTCGTGACGTTTTCGACGTAAGCGGCGACGGCGTTGGCTTTCTTCAGGCTGATCACGACGGCAACGTGGGCCAGCACCGTGGTGTTCTTGTCCACGACGGCGGCGTATGGGGAGAGCGACTCGCGGCATAGCTTCCGGTAGAGTACCGTGGTAGTGTTGCACAAGGTGGCGACGAAGTCGGTCTGGTCTTTCGTGGGGGCGGCGCGGGCGGCGGCGGACGACGGCGGAGTTGAGTTGGCGGCAAGGGTGAAGAGGAAGATAATGGAGAGTAAAAGAGAGTTCTTCATGATGGTTGTATATATAGCTTTAGTCTTTGGGTGTTTAAAGTAATTTAGCTATCAATAGATAATGGGGAGATTAGTGACAATGATGGATGTTTAAATACTAGTGAGAGGGGTTTAAAAATTAGTTTTCAGCTTCAATTTCATTAAAATATAGTTTTGTTTTTCAAATATATTGAAACAATTAAAAAAATTATAACACTTGTAACAAAGTACTTCCATTGTCCCGGAAGACTTTTCCAGTTTTGACTTTTGGGAGGAGAAGATATAAAAATTTGACCAAGGTGAAACGATGACAATTGAGACAAGTTGGCCTCGAAAGATATCAAAATAAGTAGAGCATAGAAGATAGTTAGGGTAAATTCGGTTAGATTTAAGAAAAGTAAGTGCAGTTATGTTTATTTAGGCGAAATTGAAATATTTTGTGAGACATGTAAGAAGTGAAAGTTGATATGTTTTAAGGTACAAAGGGAGTATATTGTACTTATCAACCATATTAGAGGTATGTTATACTTATCAACCATGCTAGAGGTACCCAATGAAATGTCTCCAAAGTATACATCAAAATAATACAATAACATTTCGATGATTCACACTGATACAATATATTATTGCGATCAAAACTATTTGTATTAGCATCTGTGCCAGTGTGAACCGTCATCCAAGCATCACAGGTACAAAATGAAGATGTATACCTATGATTTATAATTTGGGGTGTAATTACTTAATTTTGTACTTATAGCTTTTGACTTAAAATTGTACCGTTCAACCATTTGACCAATCAATGTACACAATTATATGCGGTAGAAAAGATTACTCCGTAAATACCATTTGACAAAGATATTCTAAAATTATGAATGTTTTTTCCAATTACCTATTTTAAGCTAATTGATTTGAGTTTCAGTTTAATCAACGGATGCGTTTTTCGAACGGTGAAAGTAGGATTTTTCTATTAAAGTTATAACTAAATTGTAATTATTATGTTGCATTAAATTGAATTTCTTAATGCTAGTAAAAAAATGGACATTTGGACTAAAAAGTTGCACTAATTTTAAAGAGTTGGAGCTGGGAAATGTGGACCATTAATTCCTCTTTTAATTTTAAACTTGCACTAGATTTTAATAGTTTGAGATTCCGTTACATTAGGAGATCGATACAAATTATGATATCCACCTTGTGGCTAGGAAAATTGGTTCTATATTTAAGTGTACAAGATATTGATTCACCTTTTTTTGAGGAGTACGGAGACTAAATATATTTGATAATTAAAAATGTATTTTTATAAAAATACATTTTCTAGAGCCACACATTTGATAATAATATTTTTTTTGTTAGGAACAATATTTGGAAGATCATTCTTTCACTAGAGGGCTAAAGAATTGCATTAAACAAATTAATGTCACAAATATTAATGTGTCACAAATTTTTCAAAGAAGAATACAAAGTAAGCAATCTCAACATTAGTGCGTCATAGAATACAGCTTGATCCACATAACATTGATGTCATGGGATGATTTGCTCCTGTCATACCTGAATTCACCCCATTTTTAATTGCACTCCACAAAATTTAGTTAACTTTGAAATTAAAATTTAACTCCAAAAAGACCAAAATCAATTAAACTCGATGGAGTACAATGGAATGGGATGGATGAGGGTTCGGGTCAAATCAGAGTGGGGTTTATCGAAAGTTTAGAAGAGTTAGAAATCGTTAATTTTTCGAACAAAGCACTGTAGGTATCCCAATCAGAGTCCGGACCATAGTATGACATTGGGCTCAATGTCTCATGAACCCCTCCCCATACGGGAAAGGTTCCCATGACATTGGGAACCAATGTCATGGGATGACCCGGGGGTGCTCCGCTGCTCCGTTCGTAAAATTAACGGTTCCTACCCCCCTACCCCCTGGTAAACCCCCCCACCCCGCCCCGACCCGAACACACCCCCACCCCCTTCAATTGCACCCCACAAGTCGATTTTGACTTTGGAGTCAAAATATGACTCCAAAGTCAAAATCGACTTTTAGGGTGCAATTGAAGGGGGGGGGGGTGTTCAGGTCGAGGCGGGGTGGGGGGTTTACCGGGGGGGTTAGGGGGTAGAAACCATCAATTTTATGAACAGGGCACCGGGTCACTCCCCGAGTCATTCCATGACCTTGGTTCCTAATGTCATGGGAACCAAGGTGTAATAAAAAATGAAGTTCATTATATTTGGGGTGATTTTCTGACACATATTAACTCTTCAGAGTACATATTCTCTATAATGCTACATTAGTGAGGAAAATCGAGCAAATAGAGGTCCAGAATATAATCCAAGCTGAGCTGAGTTTATGATGCGGATAATTAATTAGAATATTTTAATTAATTATATTATTATTTAGTAGTTATTTATTAATAATTATAAATATTCTATAGTCTAGGGTTTTAGTATGAGCCCGATCCCATTAGGTCAAGTAGGTGTGATGTCTCATCGCAATATATTGTAATAATGTATCATAATCATTCATTCAATCCATATACAAGAATCATTAATCTCGTGCTTTCTTTTCTATCGAGTTTGAAAACGCTCGAAGTTTTCGTTATTGGATTGAATGATAATGATAGACAATTACTCCCTCCGTCCCTAAATAAATTTCCCTTTTTGACTTTTTGAGGATTTAAGAGAGAGATATTTTTGTGTAGACTTTCCAAAAATATCCTTGATGTGATGTGTAAAAGTAAGATGTGATATGTAGATTATTAGTAAAAAGGTATGATGTGATAGGTATGGTATGAAAAAGTAATGGGTAAAAGGGGTTTTTTAAGGGAAAAGAGAAGTTTATTTGGGGACAAAAAAAACGAAAGGAGAAGTTTATTTAGGGACGGAGGGAGTATAATATATAGCGATGAGACAAGACACCTACTTGACCTAATGCGATGGACCCATACTAAAACCATAAACTATAGAATATTAATAATTAATACGGAGTAATAAACAACTGCTACATAATATTATAACTAATTAAAATATTCTAATTAAGGGGCTGTTTGTTTCAGCCTCTTAATGGTTCAGATGTTTGAATGGTTCAGTACTTAATGGTTCAGATTGTTTGTTTCAGCCTCTTAATGGTCCAGATGTCTGAATGGTTAAGAGATTTGTCTCTGAATGGTTAAGTATTATATAGAGTCTGAATGGTTAAGACCTCTTATCTGAATTGATCAGACATTTGCCTCTGAATAGTTAAGCAATATACTAGCTCTTAATGGTTCAGATCTCTTACTGGTTCAGCACTTAATGGTTCAGACCTCTTACTGGTTCAGCACTTATCTATTCAGAAGTTACCAAACAGCCCCTAACTATCCTTATCAGTTTAAAATGGCACTCGAAATAAAATTTTAACTTTAACGATGGAGATTATTTTTAATTATTTTTTAATGATGTAAATTTATTTTAAATACGGAGTACTACGTATTTAATACCCTGAGTACTACACTGTGCAGCGAGGTGGTGGGATTGAAGTAGTTTTCAACCCTAAAATCATGACATTGTTTTGTAATTCTTCACTCAAAAAGAATATTTGGACTTTTTATATTTACACTCATGAACAAATGGTTTTAAATTTGACCCCATCGCCCATGATAGTTTGACTTTTGATGTATTAAATTAACACCCGATTACAGGTTTGAGCCGTTGATTAAGGCATTATTCCGTTGTATGATTTGATTGAAATCATGAGTAGTCCAAAAAAAGGAAAAAATTGAAGAATAAAATTTTAAAAATATACTCTGTATCAAAATACGAATTTTCTGTTTTTATCCTTGAAATCAAAATTAAAATATATTTATATTATCAATCATGATCATGTATATTATTAAAAAGTTTAGTAAAATGTACATGTACAGTGTCACACAAGCATAGTGCAAACTCCTATTTATGGAATACAAACATGAAATTTTTATTTTGATACTTTCTCCATGTTTTAATCGTATTTAAGTTGATTTTTTTCAATGAGTTACTCTTATGTAATACTACCATGATTGAATAATGAGTTAATCCACTTCCAAAAAAATTAGTTTAAAGTAACGCCAGTTTAGTGTTTACGTAAAGACTTTTTAAGTTTTATGTTAAAAACCCATCAAATCAGTGGGAAGAAACCACCCTTCTCTTTAGGCGAACTCTTGGTGGTTTTTTGGTTTATAATTATTTTATGAACCTTAATATATAAAATGATTATATATATATATATATATATATATATATATATTAGATCTTATAAAAATAGAAAGATGTAATTATGAACTCATAGAAAATATATGAAAATATTCACATTTAATAATACAAGTCTTTGTTTTATGTTGATGATTGAAAAATTTATAAACAAATTGAAGAGAGCCCAATAGCCAACAGAGAACTTGTTCAATTCACTTTAACTAATTATTTTTATTGCTTAATTTGTATTACTTATTCTTATTAGAATGAATAAAGATAACAGGATATATGATATTATAATTGTTTACTTTTCTTATTATATTCTTACCCTACTTCCTTATTCTACTTTGGTTAAGATTCTTCATATGTTCTCTATATATACTCATGTAATCTTTAATATTCAATAACACAAATTATTATGGAGTATAAAATTGTATAATGGCATAAGAGTTGCGGTCTTTCTCTTCAAAAAGTTACCTCTTTTCTTTCGACCGTACTCCACCGCCGGTCTTCATCATCAACGTTCTATTACCATATATCATGGTATCGTCGTACCTTATCCCAGCCCTCTCTTTCTCCCAAGATAATTGTGTTTGTACCTAACAAGCATCGTCTCTGATCTTATCTTTATATCTCCAAAAAAATCGTGTGTGCATTCGTATGTATTTCCTCTAGAGATCGAGAATATAGAAAGTGATAGAGAAGTAGAGAATAGCCCACAAGGCGGAAGAAAACTCAGCAAATGTACTCTCAAACACATTCTTCATGTAGTGAAATTAAAGTCTGTCTCTACTTCTAACGGCAATCCTCACAAAACCGCCTTTGTCAGCTCCATTCTAGTACTTGTGCTCCAAGCTGATCCTCGTTATTGATGATCAGCTTTTGGTGTATATTAGAAATAATAAGGATAATGCATGGAAAATAGAATATTATTATATATTATGTACTTATTATATTGTTACCATAATTTATTATTCTACTTTGGTTAAGATTCTCTATATATAATAATGTAATCCTCATTATTCAATAACACCAATTATTATCTAATTTTATTAGTCACTATGAATTTAGGTTAAAGGTTATCGCTCTCTCTTCCTATTTTGGCCAAAAATTCAAAATATGATTCATGTGAACTTAGTGTTTTAGTGGTGTGATAATTTTGACGATAAATTTTAAAGAATTTTTTTGGTAAAAAATAACATATAGGAATAGTTGTGAAAAATTTGAGGCCCCATTTAATAATGGGCCCCTTTAGAAAATAAACATTGAAAATAAGTAAATAAATTGAATAAATTTTAACCTTGTAAATAGTAAACGAGAAGATATTATTGGACGGAAATATTATTGTTTCAAGGGTAATACAACGACTCGCCTCTACATTACATTTTCTGTGTGTGTGTATATATATATATTATTGAATCCCTCTATATTATTACGATTAAAGATCTATATTATATGATGTATTAACATTCATCACACATTGTGACAACGCCAAACTAGTGTGGATGATATTTTTACACTAAACCCAATTTTATAAGTTACATTAAGATCAATATACTAGGATCGTACACTAGTATGAGATCGGATTTTAATGTTATGAAACGACATTGACCTCAGTTAGAGCAGCATAATTGTTTCTATGGTGCCCCAATTGAAGCTAATGTCTTTTCATTACATTGAAATTCAATTCCATGGAAATCGGGCAGCCTTTTTAATGCCCAAAAGACCCCTAGATTAAATTGAGTGTGAAAAAAAAAAAATTGGTCATGGCTTTGCAACCTTATTAGCAAAGGCATTAACCAAAGCCAGCGCATTACTGGTCAACTGCTTGACCTTCACAACACCGTCGTACACGTCAGACCTGAGGGACCCATCTGCCACGTTATCGAACCCGTCGACACACGTGTCCTCGTTCGTCTCGGCCGCACTCATCCACGTCAGCACGTTGCTGAGCTGGAACGCCAAGTCCTCGGCCGATCCGCCGAGCTGCTTCATCTGTTGGAGCGATTCTTGGATCTGGTCGACGGAGTCGCCGAGGGTGGAGGAGCAGTCGCGGATCGCCGCCACCGCGCGGTGCTCTCCGCCGCCGTCGGCCAGCGGGGAGAGGTTGTTGTTGCCGACGTAGGTGGTCATGCTCTTGGCGTGGTCGAGGCTGACGCCGATGGCCACGCGCGCCAGCCTGGCAACGTCACCGCGCACGGCGCTGGCGTACCTGGAGAGGGAGGCGTAGCACGTGTCCGGATAGAGAGTGTTTTGGCAGCTCTTGAGAATGAAGTCCGTGTATGGGGCGGCGGCGGAGGCGGTGGTGGTGGTGGGGTTGGCGAGCGCCGCCGTAGAAGGGGGTGGCGCGTGAAGGAGTAGTAGTGTGAAAATTGAGAGGGAGGAAATGAAGGAAAACAGAGGAGAGGGTCTCATTCTATATTTCTGTGGGTCTTAAAAAACGACTTTATATTATTGATGGGAGTTTGATTTAAATTAGACAAAGAGAATTGGGATGTGAGTTTAAATAGGAAAACTCTCTAAGGTTTGGATGCTTTTATACTACTCCCTACAAGTGTGAATGGGTGGTCCTCTCGGTCTTTCCTAGTCATCTTTTTCTAAAGTTGGTGTTAAAATATGGAGAAATTACTGCTGAAGGAACCTTTTTTGAATCTAATTCCTATGAGGGAAGATCGGGTTTTGAAATCCCGATAATTTTTTAGGTTACTTTGAGATGGACCATGCTACACTTACATCACAAATTGTACCCTATTTGTACACTACAGTTATACACAAACATTTTGATGGTTTACACCGATACAAGTGTTTATGCGTTAATAAAAATTTATACGGACATAAAGTGTTGGTGCATTAAAAAAACTTAGTTTTACACCAATATAAAGTGTCAGTGCAAACATGCGGGGTAGAAGGTGAGGTAGAAAAGTTGGGGTACAAATAGCTTTATCCGTAGATTTAGGAACTACGGAGTAGTTTTTTAGGATTTCTTTTTTAAATAATTAGGGATCGGGTTTAGAAATCCAGATCGGATAATATATATTTTTTTGGTTTATTTCAGGATTTAGAAACTACTCCCTCCGTTTTCAAAAAAAAAAAATTATAGTTTGATTAAGTGTGAAAATAAAGAAGTGTTAAATTGTAGTTCACTTCTAATTTTGCCCTTAATATGATGGATAAAAGTAAGATGTGATTGATAGATAATTAGAGAAAAAGTATGATGTGATAGGTAGTGTATGAAAAAATAAGGGTAAAAGTGATTTTTTAATAAAAAGTTGAATTGAAGTATTTTATTGGGAGTAGAAAAAAATGAAAGATGAAGAATTTTTGAGAACGGATGTAGTAGATTTTTAGGATTACTTTTTGAACACTATGGGGGTATTCAATTATAATTTTTTAGATTTTTTTGAACTTTACACTATGTTTGGTTCAAGGAATTTAGGAGGAAAAAAAAGGAAATGGTTTTCCCTCTGATTCCTCACCATAATAAAAGGAATTTGGTTTTTCTTTCATTTTCTTTTCTTTCTACTTTTTTTTCTTTTCTTCTCTAACCAAACAAGAAAAATATTTTCCTTCTCATTTTCTTTTCTATTTCCTCTCAAATTCCTTGAACCAAATATACTATTAAAGAGTCGAGGGATTAGGAAATCCATAGACTCCATACAAAGGTTGACCTAGTTTTTAATTGATTTATGTGGATTCTGGCCTGACTCTTTTATTGATTTAAGATATGAATTGAACATCTACAGACTTTTGTGATAGAATTTATGATGGGTAGTAATAACTGGATTGAGCAATAAGACATTTGGGATGAACCTCATAGCATTCTTATTTACCTTTATCAACTTTTTGAGTAAATTCTTTAAAAAGTCTCCAGTTATAGGTCGTTTTATATATTTAATTCCTACATATCAAATATTAATTACTAGTTTAGTTTTCTATTATTATATCATTATTCACGAATAGTGCTTTGTTAACGTTTTTATTAAGAACATAGATAAAATTGTATATTCATATTTCTGTCTCTCATTAATTAAGCTTCCTCTCTACTCTCGTACTCTTTTCCAAACTTGTCGTTGAGTTTGAAGCTTTAAACCCAAAACTGAAATGATCACTCATCTCTCAATTATTAGTGTTCTTAATGGACCCGAAAAGAGGACCATCTATTAAAATTGAGATTTGAAAACCCGATTAACTGGGACACTAAAAATTTATTTCTTTAATTTAATTTATTTCGGGATTGTAAATCTCGATCTTCCCATTTAGGAATTCCCTACAAATTCTAGGAATTTATCATCAAATTTCTTCCTCCTGCGGGAAACAACCCGTTTAATATGGAGTATTATGTACTCACTCCGTCCCAAATTATTTGCCACATTTGCTTTTTCAACAGTCGTGAGAACTTTTGTTTATTTCTACATTTTCATTGGTAATTTAATAAAATAAAATATTCTTGACACCTCTTATTTCGAAGAACTTTTCATGTAGTTTTTTGATATGTAATTTTTATTTTTTATTTCTTTACCAATATGTAAATAAAATGAATTAAAAAAACTTGATATTTTACCTCGGTAATAGAAATGTGGTAAATAATTTGGGACGGAGGGAGTAATTTATTTGTCTCTAAAAGAGTAAAAGTTACTCCCTCCGTCCCACAAAAAAGTTTCCATTTGGAATAGTATTTAGTCAAATATTTACATGCTTTGACTACAAATTGTGAGAAAGATATATTGAATTATAAAATAAATTTAATATAATTGGATTCATCTTAAGATCTAGTTTTGATATCTCAAATTTTTTAGGATTTCTTTATTTAGATTATATTTAATTTATGGTCAAAGCGTGTAACTGTTTGACCAAAAATACATCAAAATGGGAACTTTTTTATGGGACAGAGGGAGTATTTTTTTGTTTGACTTATATAATTTAATAGAGAAATTTTTGTATTTTCATTTTCCCAAATTATTAGACCGGACAAAAAATAATTTGGCCTATTTTTGAATCAAGAGCACTAAGTTTTGAACAAAGATCGATTTTGTTAACTAAATCCGAAATGACTCGCTGAAAATGGGTCAAACCCGATCAAACCCAAACATGACCTGATGATCGACCCGCTAATGTAAGAGTTTTTCAAAATCATATACTTTACAGTGAAATATAATGTTATAAAAATAAGGTTATAATTATATATTTTTTCTAACTGCCGGTTTTAGCGTATAATTTTATATTGAGTAAATTTCATAGTTAGTCCTTTATAAAAGGGGGGTTTCCATATTTAGTCCTCTATTATCAAATATTACCCCCCGTAGTCTTTTTTTTAATGTTACCTTTCCACAAATGGTCCTTTTTTTGATCTTCTGCCGTGTTGGTGTTAATTTAAAGGCTAAAAGTATAATTTGACGTCAACATTATGTCCAGTGACGTGTTCTGATATTGGTTAAGCGGATAACACAAAAATAATGACTATGATTATGGGCTAGGATTCTGACGAAAGATCACATTTGTAGATTATAGTTGTCGTAAAAAGCGACTGTAATTCACAAACGACGCAAACGGAACAGCCTTTGGAATTGTGCATGACAAAAAAGATATATTCTCATTGTGAAATTACACTTTTAGCCCTTAAATTAACACCAACATGATAGAAGATCAAAAAAGGACTATTTGTGGAAAGGTACCCATAAAAGAAGGACCACTTGGGTAATATTTGATAATAGAAGACTAAATAGGGAAACCCCCCTGTTATAAAGGACCAATTATAGAATTTACTCTTTTATATTTTTGAACAAAATTTTAATGATATTGCATGATTATTTTAATTTTTTCCTTAAATTATGCATTTTTTAACTCTTTATATTGATTTATATACGTAAAAATTACTCCTGAATTTAAAATAAAGTAATACGTAGTACAATAGATTCAATACATATTTTTTGATATTTTAATTTTATTTAATGTGAAATGCATATGTTAATATGAATTAAAAAAATTTAAAACCAAAGTCATAACTCGTTGAGTCGACCCGAACTCGATGATACTGGGTCATAAACATAGAGTTCTCATCTCGAACCCGAATTGACCCGAACCTGAAGTAACCCAAACCTAAAGTGACAAAACTCGAACCCAACATGATCGACCAATATCGACCAATTTTCCAGCTCTATAAATTATTATGTAATGTCAAAATAAAATGTGACTGATAGATTTATAGTAAATAAATCTAAAAGGATAATGTCATGTTCTCCTCAACTTATTTTTTCACTTATTACTTATTAGAGCCAGATCAGATCAAGTTGGATCAGAAATAACTTAAAATATAAGTACATTCAGATCAGATCAGAACAAAATTTATGCTAATAAAATTAAAATCATTCAGATCAGGTGAAGAGAACATAACAAAAGTAGAATAGAAATTAATTGAAATTAGGGTAGCACTTCAAGGAAATGCAAGAGGATGAGAGGTTGGGTAGGTTTAGGGAGAAGTGGAGAACTATAGGACTTTGGAGTATTAAGTAAGTTTTGTAAAATGTTAAAGCTAAACATTTAAATTATTTTCAAACAACTATTTAATAACATTTCTTCATTCTCTAATTTATGATCTTAAATAACCAAAATAATAATTTTAAGATCTTTATAACGACATCCAACTACTCCTAAATGTAAATTTGTCAATCGGGTTTAATATATTATGGAGTACTACTACATTACACGTTCAAAAGTCAACAAAATGTAGTTGACCGTGATTAAAGAGACAAAGGTCACAAAACATTTAATTTAAATTTAATACTCCATAGGTTTCTCTGTATTTATTTTTTCGAATGTCATCTGTTACTCCCACGGCTCAATGTCAAACTATAGAGAAGAGGGCCCACGGGGGGTGTGGGAGGGGGGGAGGGGGGGCGGGTGTAGGGACGAGGTCGGGCTTACGGAGTATTCTATCCGTCTCAATTTAGGGTGCATGACCACTATTTACATGGTTAAAATAAAGTTATTTTTTTAGTTATTTTTATTAATCATTTGATAAAATAATATAATTATGTCAGCTCTTGATTCGTATAAGTTTTTATGTTTTTTATAATATACCGAATACAACTTTATTTTTCCATTCCACACAAATTTTCAAATAATTAAAATTAAAAATAACTTCAGTCAAATACAATATACGAAAAAAAATATTAAATTGAGGCTGATAGTGTATTACGTGATTATTTCAAATTTTCTTCCGGGAGGCCCTTTGCATTTTTTTAAATTGAATATGGGCTCTTAAAACACACGGACTATTGGGCCGCATATTTATTTATATTTATGATATTTTTTGGTTTACTTTTATTGGATCGTATTTTAGGGCTTTGGACCATTTCTTCTAGGGTGGATTTCAGAGTTCCATTTACTTCTTTTGAATGATTGAATGAGTAAATAAGGTAGAGGATTGGATCATGTGAATTAGATGAGAATGAGTAAATATATCTCAAAAAGTTTAAAAAATTTAAGTATCGAGATAAATTTAAAAAAATGAAGAAAGTTAAAAATTGTGCGAGGAGGTTCATTTGGACTTTAAGCTCCGTTCCGTTCAACTTATTTTTTCTGATCTGATCTGATTTTAATAAGTTTTGATCTGATCTGATC